TTCATTTGCTGTCTCCTTTTGCTCATTTGCTGTCTCCTTATATTCATTTGCTGTCTCCTTTTATTCATTTGCTGTCTCCTTTTATTCATTTGCTGTCTCTTTTTATTCATTTGCTGTCTCCTTTAATTATTTTGTTGTCTCCTTATATTCATTTGCTGTCTCCTTTTGTTCATTTGCCGTCTTCTCTATGTCTTTTGTTGTCTCCTTTATTCTTCTGGTGTCTCCTTCTGCTCATTTGCTGTCTCCTTTATTCATTTGCTGTCTCCTTTATTCATTTGCTGTCTCCTTAATGCTCTTTAGAAAGAGTAGATGTCTGTCTCCTTTATGTGGTGTAGTTGTCTCCTTTATCTGTCTCCGCTTTTTTGTGTGTCTTTGTTTTTATATATTTCTTTTTGTTCCTTCAAATCGCTGCCTGCTTTCCTTTGACTATAGATCTTGGGGTTTAGGGTTTAGGGTTTAGGGTTTAGGGTTTAGGGTTTAGGGTTTGTGGTGGTTTGCTTCAGGAAGACGCTGTAGTGGGTTTACTTCCTTTGCTGGTTTCTGTCTTCAACAGCTGCAATTCTTTTGATATTCGACGTGTAGGTCCCTATACACCCCAAATGTCTATTAATATTTGAGGTGTATGTACACCTCAGACCCCACACTGTATATAGATATAATAAGGGTTTCAGGTGTATGTACACCTCAAACCCCACATATTAAAACCCCGCATATTATATAAAGCTGAGGAGGAGTTGAGTGTTTTGTATGGCTTTAAGTTAGGTAAATAAGTATTTATTATTTTTATTTTATTTTTATTTAATTTATTATTTACTATTTATTATTAAGTTTATTATTTAATGTATTTATTTAACTAATTTAATTTAATTAATATATTATTTGATGTTCTTAAGATAATTTATTTAATGCTACGTATTGAATTTAAACTTTAATCAATTAATTAATTAATTAATTTAATTAGTTAATTAAATAAATAAGTAATTAATTAATTAATTAATTAATTAAATTAATTAATTAATTTAACTTTTATGGTGTATGTTTGAGAGCGCAGGATGCAGCAGAAAGTTTGCTGCACTTTACTTTGAACAACGCATGCCGCCATATGAACGAAGTCCTCGCAGCTAAACCCTCAATATTAAGAGGGTTTCTAGATATGATTGAACACTGCAAATACGACTTCACCTCCGTAATGTTAGTCTCAGGGTTTAGGGTTTAGGGTTTAGGGTTTAGGGTTTAGGGTTTACGGGTGAGGGGTGAGGAGCTTGGGGTTAGACGGTGGGCTTAGGGTTTAGGGTTTAGGGTTTAGGGTTAAGGGGGTTGGGGTTAGAGGGTGGGTTTATTGTCTGTGGTTTAGGGTTTTTTAGGGTCTACGGGATTGGGACTTAGGGTTTAGGGTTTAGGGTTTAGGGTTTAGGGTTTAGGGTTTGCATGGGGTTCAGGATTGGGCTTGACTTCATTGGGGGGGTTTTGGAGAAGGAGCCGAAGACGCGAATGGAGATATACGAAATGGACGGCATTGCAGTGAGGCGCTGCGCGTACACCCCAGCCTTTCAGGGTTTAGGGTTTAGGGTTTAGGGTTTAGGGTTTAGGGTTTAGGGTTTAGGGTTTGGCGTTGTGTGTTGGGGTTTTTTAGAAACTTGAGAGCGTCCAGTTCCTTCACAACGAGGCAATAGACAAGAGAGTCTCCACCCTCATCTCTAAGTGAGAACGGCTGGCTAGGGTTTAGGGTTTAGGGTTTAGGGTTTAGGAGTGCAGCAAACCTCGGCGTGGTTTGTATATTGAGCGGACTTCTCGTTTGCTGTTTTAGCTGCGTTTTCATTTTGTTTGTTTGTTTATTGTATTATTTATTTATTTGTTTGTTTATTGTATTTGTTCGTTTGCTTGCTTGCTTGCTTGCTTGCTTGCTGTTGTTGTTTCCTTTGTTTCGCTGCAGCTATTTGCACACTGAGAAGGTTAAGGGTTAGGGTTTAGGGCTTAGGGTTTAAGGTTTAGGGTTTAGGGTTTGTGGTTGCTGCTGCAGGTACTTAGACGGGTTCAGTGAAGACGAAGAGGAGCCCCCCCCGAACGCCTTCTCAGCATTTTAGGGTTTAGGGTTTAGGGTTTAGATATGGTGGTCGCGTTTGTTTGTTATCTCGCAGCAAAGAGGGATGGTTGGGAGCAGGAAGGGTCTTAGCTTAGCTTAGGGTTTAGGGTTTAGGGTTTAGGGTTTAGGGTTTGGGGTTTGTTGCTTGTCTCAGCTAGCTGTGGGCTTCCCTAGCATTGGCTAGCTGGCTGGCTAGCCAATAAGGGGGTTTAGGGTTTAACTAGGGTTTAGGGTTTAGGGTTTAGGGTTTGCGAGGGAAAGTGTTGGTTTCTGAGGTGTACGTACACCGCAACTCTGCTGCTCTTTGGTGGCTGCTCGGGTGTACAGTCAGCTCCTACTTTGTTGTATATATTATAATTGCTAGGGTTTTTGTTTTTCTTCGTTTTGCTGAGGAGAGATATAAAGCAAAATGAAGAAGGGGACATTCAGAGCTGCCTATACACCCCAACACAGAGAGGGCAGCTAGCTGAGCTGCCTATACACCCGAAGTAAACACATATATAGAGGGGTGCAAACCAACTACCAGCCCGCCCGGCCCTGCATGCATCTGCTGCGGTGTATGTACAGCAGACTGAGTATTTCAAAAGCTCTAAAGGCTTCTTTATTTATCTTGTCTCCTCACTACAGAGGGCGTAGCCTGTGTGGGGCCCCACACCTCACGCTGTTCAGGTGTATCTGCAGCTCTTGCTCTCCATAGCAGATTAGAAAAGTCAACAAGCACGTCAATATAAACCCAAAGGGATATTATAATAATTATTATTAGAAGCACTAATATTATTTTTATTATTACTATTGCTACAATTATTATTATTTATCATTGTTACTGTTATTATTATTATTACTATTGCAACAATTATTATTATCATTGTTAATGTTATTATTATTATTACTAGTATTATTTATTATTATTCTTACTGTTATTATTATTACCTTTATTATTATTATTATTATTATTATTATTATTATTATTATTATTATTATTATTATTATTA